GAGGGCATAAGTAGCTGGACTAACACGAAAACAAAAACATAGAAACAAAAACACAGAGGAGGCGAGGAAAGAGACGAAAAGTAATCGGACAAAACACCACAAGGAGACTAAATTACGATAATGAAAGAGTAAAAAAAAGGAGTGTGTTTGTTCCCACGAGATAACACACATTTAGCGATATATTCCTACACCCAGATGCTCCTTCACGCAAATCTCATATTTCTCGGGACTCTAGCCTTTCTTCCGCCATGCCATAGGGGCGGCTATGGCTTGGCCAGTGTGCAGGGAATGATTTATTTTGTCGTAAAGATGTTTCATACTTTTATGCGTCCGAAAGTGGCATATATTTTGAAGATTTGATGTGTCCACCAGTGAGTTTGTTGGCCAGACACTGACCTGGCCATTTGCTCAATCTTTACGGTACTATAAACCGTTTATTGGCGGGAGAAGAAGGGAAGTCCCGGCGCACTGTTTATAATGTCTCCAGAGCGCCCTCTACCTGCGCTGCTGCATTTCGTATTCATGGGAAAAATTGCTTTGTTGTTGCAAATGTCCCCGTAACAGGTAGAGTTCTTTTTTTCGTTTCTTTTTCGATAGAAGGAAGGTAGCAACACTTTTATTCACGCACTTAACAGACACGCCAACATGAGTGTGCAGATGCAAGGTTCGCGAAAATGGCTGTTGCATGGCAGGCAGCAGGTACCCTCGTCCGGCGTTTATGGCCGTTGTAAACAGATGTGCAATTACTGTTCTCTTAATTGAATTTATGAATTATGATATAACCTTTTCAGTACCTGTCGTCCTGTGCACACTTTTTTTCAGCTTACACGCAGCTAACAAAAGCAAATACAAATAAACTCACATATGCATGCACACGCACAAACGCAGAATGGATACGAGTTGTTTTTTTCCTGTGGCGCGGAATCTGTATTCATAGAAAGGCTTCTTTCCTCTTAGTTTTATACGAAATAAAATAGAAACGTGCTTCACACCGCTCAAAAAAGTTAGTTTTTGTAAAAGTCAGTTCATGCTCCCTCCCCCTCCTCCCCCCCCCTCCCCCCCTTCCTGTCCCAACCCAGAGCCCAGCTGTTCTCTTTTCTATCCTAGTTAATTCCTTCCTCCTTCCTATCCTTCTTCCAGTTACCCCTTCCGCCTTCCCGGCCTCTATCCCCCCCCCCCAATCCCACCGTCTCTAAACTCTACACGAAACACAGCTTCCGTCCCTTACTGTGACTCCTCCCCCCCCTCCCCCCCCTTTTTAAACTTTCTCGTTCCTACCTCTCTCATTACTCTCTACTTTTCTTAAGTAACCTGCCCTCCTTAAGCCTAGCCTTAGGTCCCCCCCTCCTCCCCTCTCCTACACCAGCTACACCCCCTCTCCCTACCCTTCTCCCTTTCCCTCCACAGCTGTTCCCTCGCCCCTCCCCCCCCCTTTTCCCCCATTCCCTGTTCCAACCCCACTTCTTCCTTGCTCCCCCCCTCCTCTTTTCCCCCATTCCCTGTTCCAACCCCACTTCTTCCTTGCTCCCCCCCTCTTTTCCCCCATTCCCTGTCCAACCCCACTTCTTCCTTCCCCCCCCCTCTTTTCCCCATTCCCTGTTCCAACCCCACTTCCTACCCCACCTCTTTCTCCCCCCCTCTTTTCCCCCATTCCCTGTTCCAACCCCACTTCCTACCCCACTTCTTTCTCCCCCCCCCTCGTTGCCAGCAAACACGCATCCACTTTGTCAGACTTTCATTCCGCAATCTGAATATCAAGTATAACAGACACATCATATATTTTGCCTTCACAGTCAAAGGGACTTTTTTAAAACGAGGTCGGTGGGGAAAAAAAAAATAAAATAGAAATGGAAATTCGAAATAAAAACGAGAAAGAGAGAGAGAGGGACAGAGACAGACAGACAGATAGGAAAACAAACAGACAGGGAGACATGAGAAATGAGAAATTAGAGAGAGAGAGAGAGTGAGAGAAAGAGAGAGAGACAGACAGAGAGAGAGAGAGGCAGATAGACAGACAGTTTGAGTGACAGAGACACAGAGAGCGAGAGACAGACAGACAAACAAACAGACAGACAGAGACAGACAAACATCCATATCGACCAATAAAAGATCATCGTCATAAAATGAATGTCAAAAAAAGAGACCAAAGACCTGTATCGGAAAAAGAAGACCGGCGTTAAAAAATGAAGCCGGATAAAAGAGTGTTAATTCAGTCACGGCAGCGTTGCAATTGCCCGTTCGGAAAGAGACAGTTGCAAGGATGGATAGAAGAGAGAGACATACATACAGACAGGCATAGAGAGACAGACACACGCACACGCATGCACACATACACATACACACATACATATACACACATGCACTTATACACACATACACAAACAGAGGGCGTGAGGGAGAGAGAGACAAACAGGCAGACAGACAGACAGAGAGAGAGAGAGAGCGAGAGAGAGAGAAAGAGAGAGAGAGAGGGGGGGGAAGGGAAGGGGGGAACAAATTG